TCAAATTTGCCAAACGGATGACAAAATGTTGATTGCTCCGATTTCATGATTTTGACGAACGCCTCATTTGACTGCAATGCCATACACATGTGTATTTCCCAACAATCGCTGAGCCTGGGGTGAACACTACAAGTGTTTTTCCTCTTATCCTCATTGTTTGAGACCCCATTCAGACGATCGGAAATATGGAGAGCACTAGAAGGAGCAAATAATTGCTCAATCGATTGTTCTTCAGCTAACGTCAGATTTTTTTCTTATGTGGTTTTGGAGTAAGTAGTATTATCCGTTGTAGAACACGGTGGCTATTTCTATAGCACTGCTTGCCATTTTTGAACGGTTTCCATGCCACTTTTAGTAGGGTCAAACCTGTTCATAGCGGTCACTCAAGATAGATCACAAAGAAAAGCGATCATTATTGACATGTGGTATTTATGGACAAAGTGGGAGTCATGGTCACTTACTAGGTTTAAAATGTGAATTCTTAATCCTATCCTTCAATTTCATTTTCCTCAAATGTGTTATCCTTCCATTTCCTTTTCCCTTAAAGCAGTTAGAGTCTATCTTTGCACTGACTGAACGTAAACACCCAGTCTGGAGACGGGTTGGCGGAAACGTTTTGGCAACACGTGACCGCTATTAACAGGTTTTGATGCCGACTTGTCGCGATAATGACTAAGCGTGCGCGGGTTGGGCATGGGCCGCTATGGGCAGGTTAAATATACAGGAGAAAATCGCAAGGGAGTGAAGGAACAGTAGTCGTTGGTACAGGGGACCGCAATGTAGAGGTGACCGCTAAAGCAGTTTCGACACATGCACCTGGTAATATCCAACTTGGTTGAGGTAGCCAGCACGAAAGAATCCATTATGAGTTCTGTTCCACGCCTGACTCTGGGTTGGGATATCAAAACGTCTATGATCTGTATGTATGTACAGGCGTACCTCAAACAGAAACGCCGCTGCTGCAAAAGGAACTTGTATGTTGAGACTTGGTTCTCTCTATAGGCCTGTGTTTCAACGCAGCATGACCCCACTGCTCCGCCCCGGGGGAACAGACAATCAATGTTTTGGCTCTTGAGACAAGGGAGCATACACAAAGCTTTCTTGTTGTCTTCCTTGTCCCAAGCCTCAAACGGGTATTTGCCAAATTTGTCTTACGCGTATTGCTCTTTTTTATAATAATAATATTCCTCTAGATCTGTGTCTATTTTCTTTTCTTTTGCATGCCTTCGGTGTGGTTCACTGATGGCTCTGAGCTGCGTTCATTTTGTAATTCAGTTTTATTGCATGTCTTTTTGTTTATGCTTGAATCCGTGCTGAAAATGTTTTGGGTCTTTGTATAAGTATAATGCTTCATGCAGCTCCCCCCCCCCCCCCACATTCACTCTCTCTCTCTCTCTCTCTCTCTCTCTCTCTCTCTCTCTCTCTCTCTCTCTCTCTCCCTCCCTCTCTCTCTCTCTCTCTCTCTCTCACTCACACACACACACTCTCATTCTCCATCTCCAACACACACACACACACACACACACACACACACACACACATAAACACACACACATACACACACACACACAGACACACACCAACACATACACATGTTCATCAGACACCCCGCTCCCTCTCCCTGTACATGAACTGGGCTGTGAGGAATGCGGCTCAATGTGTCATGTCTGAAGAACAAGACAAAAGAGCAATAGTAAATTTCGACATCCTAACCGTTGGAAATGCGTGAGCAGATTAAAAAAAAATTCTATAAGCTTTTACAATCAACAGTTTGTTTCATAATTTGGTAGAACATATTAACGATCCTATCTAAACGTAGAGATTATGTGGCCAACAATTTCAAAATAAAGGATCTCAGAGTGAATCGATTTGAAAGCGAATGGAGAGCGTAAGAAACTGCTACATCCTATCGTAGATTCAACCACGGTCGTTCTAATTGTAGTCTTTCAGGATGTTAGCTGAGATAGAGAGTACTTTTTAAAAATTCAACTCGAACAACAAACACCGCTTTCCGGCAAGTTGTTATGAATCTCATCTTGTTTTTTTTAATAGTTTTTTTTTTGGGAACACTTAGAATTAGAATTTTCACAAAACATTATATGAGTACACGCAACCGTTCCACAGATGAAGAAACTCTCATTAACCCCCCCCCCCCATTTTGGACTAAGTACTACGTTAATTTTGTTGTTGCTTGTACTAAGCTAAGCTACCCAGATTGTAAAAGGACTATGTACTCGGGACTCGTGCCAAGCTTGCACGTGCATAATTGTGTACAGATAAACACAGCCCCTGTCGGGAGCGAATGCTTCCATCTTCTTTTCGGGAGTTTGAGCAAAACCATATGTCCAGTTATTTGAACCGTGAAGTGAATGAGTGAAAGGTGCGTCACAACCTCTTCCCCCTATAACCCCCCCCCTCTCTCTCGCTTCCTCCCTCATTTTCCCACCTCTCTCTCTATTTCTATCTCTCTATCTTTCTCTCTATCTCACTCTCTCCCACCACTCTCTCTTTTTCTCTCTATCTCACCTCCTCCCCCCTCTCCTTTTCTTTCTCTCTCTTCCTCTCAATCTCCCTCACTCCTCATTCTCTCTCTCGTCTCTCGTTCTCCCCCACAACATATCTCTCTTCACCCCCTCTCTTTCTCTCTCACTCTCTTCACCCCCTCTCTCTCTCTCTCTCTCTCTCTCTCTCTCTCTCTCTCTCTCTCTCTCTCCGACCCCTTGGCCCCCTACAAAAAGAACGAAATTACTGAACTTCTATATTTATCACCCTCTTCGTTGTATAACCCTCAACTCAAATATAAAGCCAAACAGAAAACCCCAAGTCGATAGAGCCAACAGGGAATTCCAACACACAATACTCGGACATCCACACCTTTCCTCCACTTATCATTGCCCACTTCAGACGACTCAAACATTTCCCTCAAACTGTAGAAAGGCAGCTATTCTGGCCTGTTTTCTTTTATTGAATGAGAATTTTACCTACTATTTTATATCCCTCCTCCCCTAATGAGACACTTGGGGCAGATTTTTAAAGAATTGAAAAAAGGCAAGAACGTACGACTTATCATCGCTATTGGGAAAAATTGTGGACGGTAAAGTACAACAACAACAACAACAACAACAACAACAACAACAACAACAACTACTACTACTACTACTACTACTACTACTACTACTACTACTACTACTACTACAACTACAACTACTACTGCTGCTGCTGTTGCTACTGCTGCTGCTGCTGCTGCTGGAGTTTATTAGGCCCTTCTAGAATAGAGATTTCGACTAAAGAATAGATGCATCATTGCTCTCTGATCTCATACAGTTTTTTGTGTAAAGAAAAGCACATCGACATAATGATGGTTATTTATTGCTGGAACAAGGTAAGACAGACAGACGGAAACAACAGATAGAAAGTTAAGAAGTAGGACCGGCCAGTGGCACCCTCCTACCACCCGCTCTGATACAGAATGAAGATAATATGGCGTGCATATTATCGCAACACACATGATCGACGGTGCCCACAAAATCAAGGACTACTCTCTGAGTTCAAGATCCTTGTTAATGCATGGGCCACAATAAAGGTCATTTGGTTCGATTTAGTGTGGCTTTGATTGTCAATATTTTCCCCTGAACCGATCTTGCAGATCCGATTAGTTGAATTGGTGTGCACCCACTTAACTCTGCACGAGACATCAAGTTCGGAGACCCTTTGTTTTGACCCTTTGAAAAGGGTTCATCTTCGTACTGCATGCATATTTTATGGGCCTGCAATGGATGTAGGCGAAAAGAGACGGAAATTCCCCCAAAGTATTGAGTTGGTTGAAGACTTACGTCCTAACGCAGGGTGATTGAAATATGCTTGAAGGCGGAGTAAGAAATTGAATTGTACGCAAATACTCTGAGTCTTTTCCCCACATTCTTCTGTCTCTCTTTTCGTCCCTCTTAATCTCTGTCTCTCCCTCTCCCCCCCTCGCTCTCTCTCTCTCTCTCTCTCTCTCTCCCTCTCTCTCTCTCCCTCTCTCTCTCTCCTTGTCCCTCTCCCTGTCCCTCTCCCTACCCCTCTCTCTTTTACTTTCTCTTTCGCTCTCTTTCTCTCCTACTTATATTATATAACATCGATATACATTATATACAAACACATTCTCCCTCTCACATATATATATATATATATACAAACGTTCGCATACTTACACATACAAACATGCAATATATAACGTTGTATATGTACATATTATGATGTATAAATTATACTTACACTGTTCATTTTAAATCCCAGAAAGAATTGAGGTGCGCTAGCAATAATTTCAGAAAATTGTACAAATCAAGCGATATTCAACTCTCAATCTGAAACTATCATCTCTTTGAATATTCTCTTCCATATGCTTAAAGTTGTCGAGAAACACTGTAATTTAGATGCTGACTCCTAATGTACACTAGAGCAACTTCACATGGTCAAAGCGAGTAAAGAAATGTATAGATATCGGCACAGCAAACAAAAAGAGATAATTCCTATTATTTTCAAGTATTATGTGTGGTGTTTAAACATTTGCCTTTCATAGTAGAGTGGAGTGATTTGAATGGTGATAGCTCTACTTGGTTGATTTTTTATTATCATTACCGTTCATTGTAATTTGCTGGATTTAAATAATATTTATTTGCCATCGCTGCGATTTGTTATTGGTTTCACGATTTAAAGCCCGAGATGTGCACCTTACGGTTATTGATGTGGCCGTAGTCTTAGCGAGAATTCTCTCAGCTCGGTTCTGCCCCCCCCCAACCCTCTCTTTTTCTTTCTCCCTCTCCCCCCCCCTCTCATAGCAGTCTCTCTAAAGAAAAGAAAATTGTCTCTCACTCTCTCTCTCTCTCTCTCTCTCTCTCTCTCTCTCTCTCTCTCTCTCTCTCTATCTCTCTCTCTCTCAAAAGCAAGCACACAAGCACATGCAAACACACACAGACATGCAAACACACACACATACACACACACTGACACATACATACCTCCTCTCTCGTTTCTCGATCTCTTCTAGTATTTTTCAACCTTGAACCTTCCATCAACAAGACAAGCGGACGAGGAAGAAACAGCGCTGTGTGAGAAGAAAAAAAAGTAAAATTTGTTTATTAGATATATTTATTCTTTTCTACCACTTTTTACCCTATATTCAATTAAGTCTTGTGTCAAACGAAGTAGAAGCTAGATAGAAAATAGCTGTCCTCATGAAGTTCTCATACGCAAAATAAGAAACAAGAACAAAGAGCGAGACAGAAAAGACAGAAAGAAAAGAGAACTGTTCAAATGCATCATTGATTTCTTCCGTTTGGTGTGGATGTCATTGTCTAGAACAGAGCACCTTCTCAAGTCGGAATCATTTAAAGAGTAAATAAATAATGACTCGTACTTTTCTTCTCTTAAACTGAGTCAGGTTACACACAGTCGTGGATATGGCTGAAGTCACACTGGAGCTCTCTCTTTTGTGGGAGTTTTGAATCTATCGTAGAATTACTAACATCTGTCTGATATTTTTGGCCGTTCTGAGCAAACTAAGACCATGATGTCTGGAATCAAATGTTCTATTTGCTCTATCAAAATCGTAAGACTTTTCAGAGTTGTAATCAAGATATTCAAAGAATTGCACTCGAAAAAGCTTGGCACCCTGTGAAACTCAACTTTTTTGGGTTAAAATTCTCAAAACTAGGTACTGACCAGAAAAAACCCACCTTTATAATTCTAGGGTAGCGTATTATTCTCTCAATCTACACCTGCCAGGGTTTGTGGTGTAATGGTTAGATTCTGGGCCTAGATCTAACACCCAATAGACGTGAGTTCGATTCCCAAGTAAGTTTTTTTTCTGTCTGCTAGAAAGCTGTAGGGGGGCTCTCGTGGCCTAGAGGTTAAGGTGTTGGCCTCTCATTCAAAGGTCCCGGGTTCGAATCCGGGTAGCGACCAAAAAATTTTCTTCTCTAAAATTGTCTTCTTTCACCTCCTATCCTGCTCTCTAGCAATGTTCTGTTGTCTGCTTTCATTTCCACTTTCTGCCCC